TCATGTTCCTCTGCCTTCAGAATGTTTCTTTTTGTTGCTGTTGTCAGCTAAGTTTCCCTGGTCTGTTTTTCTGATCCATACCATCACCCTTATCACATTTTATGTAGCTCATTACAGGAATTATATGTACAGTATGTGTGTATTAGCCAATAATGCATGTGTCCATATTTGTGTTGTGTGAAGCACAGACCGCTTTAGTTAGAGTTTGCCTGCACCGTTCCTCTACGGTCCACAGAGCTCTGCCTACCCCCCCTCGTTCCCTCCCTGTGTGAGATTGTGCAACTGACGCAAAGGGGAATCCTCTCTGACACCGGCAAACACTGGTACGCACACACTTCCAGCACTGCTGATGTATAATATGTGCAGGCACTGAGCTTGCACAAACTCTGCCATTACAACACACACACACATTAGCCTGCACTCTGTGAAGACATAACCTTGCTGCCTTTTGTGAAATAACTTCTCTGTGACGTCAAACGGGCGAGGCTGAATACAGAGGAGCTGAATTGGGTCGAACTGCCTGTGTACGTGTCTCCCACGGCTGTCTGTGGGTTTGTACGCGCTCGCTCGCTCCTGTTTGCAGCGTTCTGCGCTTCCATTCACCTTCATCTTTCATTCAGCCTCTGCAGAGAAAATGGCTACGTTGTGTTCCTCCATTCTGAAATTCCAAATAATGCAGTGAATGAAAGAAATAACTGCTACTAATAGCGGCTCGCAATCATTACCCACACAAAATTATAGGACGAGACGGCATCCTCTGTTCACTTGCACTCTGGCTGTCATTAAAGAGAAATAATCAGAGTGGGACAGAAAAGGTGGCGACTGTAGGTTCATCTGTCCATCTATACTGTCTCTGCACTGTAACTGTATATGTTGTTCTTCTGTAGGTGGATTGTCTTTCCATACAGAATGGATGATGATAATCAATTATATGATTCATCAAGAAAATATGAATAGAAGCCCATTCATTATAAGTCCACATTTTAACTGTGGATGTTGTCTCAATATAACTCAACAAAAACCAAGGGTATTGCTTATATATATATATTTATATTCTTTTTTTTTTTTTTTTTTTTTTTTTTTTTTTTTTTTTTTTT